TAAATACGAGTTTCATGTTAACTTGTTGTCAAAGGTGAGACCTAGGTACTCCACCTCTGTTGCAAAGTTCAGTTTTGTGTTTAGGAGTTCTGGAGGTTTTAATTCCATTTTCATAATTTTCCTTGTGAAAAGTACCATTTCTGTCTTCTTAGGATTTATAGACAGTGAATGGTCCTTGCACCACTGTTCTATAATATTTGGAGCTACTTGCATTCTTTCGCAGAGTATGTTTTCAAAATTCCCTGTTTGCAGAATGACCAGGTCATCTGCATATACTATTGTGTAATGACTGTCATTATTGAGGCGGCTGATGAGGGTGTCGCCAGGTTCGCTCAGGAGAGTGTTTGCTGCCGCATCTGCCCCTGCGACAATTCCTCCGTCGGCACGTTACACCTTAGATTGGGGAGTTGGTTCGCGGTGGTAGCCTTCGCAAAATATTTTGAGGGATTTAGGCTCTCGCACTCTACTTATGTCTACCACTAACCAAGGAAAACTTGGCCGTTCTTCTATCCACCACCCGGAGATGCGCTCAGTTGGCACTCAACCGCTGAGAACGTAATAGTAATATTCAATCCTTTTGTTTCTAGTTAGATGATAAGAAATATAGATATTATAAACATCGTTTAACTAGTAACTTTGGGTATACCTACATTTTGGGAAAACTTTGCTTAGTTAAATACTAAATTTTCGTTAAAGTATAAAATGTGGTAAATTATAAAAATGACGGAGAAACGTTTAAACTACAAGGCGGTGTAAAAAATACTTTTCTAATATTTACAGTATTTGCAATCAGTTGAACACCCCGTATGATCTATAGTGATAGGTCTTACACTTATTTATTATATTCCAAAAATTACTGGTCAGATCGTTTATACGGGATAAATCGTTAAAGGTGTAAAACAGGTAGGGCAAACTTTGTTTTGCTGAGGGTGTAATTTCGGGACTTAATAAGGTCCAGGACCGCACGGAAAAAAATGTGACTAGAAAATTTTACTACAATGTTGTAGTAGTAGACTTGTAGAAAAATACTTAACAATTTGTAGAAAATTTTACTACAATTTATAGTTAAAAACTATTAATTATTGTAGCAATTGAATTGTCGAATAAAATGCTACAACAATAGGAAAGAATTCCACAATGTTTAGTATATTTTACTATTGTTTGTAGAAATAGAAATTTATTATAATTATCGTAATTACTACTACTAACTTCTGAAAAAATTTGTACAAATATTAATAATTATCTCTACAAGAAATAGTAATTTTCTCTACAAAAAATAGTAATAATTTACATCCCTTTTTATGAAAAATATTCAATTTTGTTCAAAAATATTCTATAATATTGTAGAAATTCTAAGTCATGTGAACAAAACAGAATTCTGCTATTGGCCAACGTTTTCTGACGTCGATCATAAATGGCCAGACAGCAGTAGCCGTTCGCCATGTTCACATAACAAAGCATGGTACATATACGAGTACCTATAACACATTATTATATTATAAGCACCGATGCGTTTGAGAAAATTTTAATAATAAATTCTATTGGTGGTAAGTACATTTATTATTGTTTCTGAATAATTTACCTTTAAATAACTAATTTAAATAACCTTAGTAGATTATTTTAAAAAAAATAGTTGTGGTCAACGATCGAATTTTGTGCAAAATTCAATGATGTTTTTTTGTCTAATTGTGACATACCTACTTTCTCATTTTTGTTAGTTATCTGACTTAATCATTTAATATCCAAATCAGTGTAAAGGTGATAAATACCCCCGTTTTAAGGGTATGAACAGTTCAATTGTTATTAATTTTTATTTCATATTTTTCAGGTGCAGAAAAGCCAACTGAGACTGAGGGTGATATTATTACTGTTATTTATTACATAATGTAATTAAGACTTTGTATCTTTTATATTAGAACAATAAATTGAATATTTTATTAAGGAACATTTTTTTCTAGGTTATAATTATAATAATTATGGAATACTACTACAAGTTTTATTAAAAATTACTACAATTTGTATGAATTTTTACTATTTATTGTGTAAAATTTTCGTATTTATTTTCATAAAACGCAATACATTTTTAATATAAATTCATACAATGAATAGCAAAAATTATAACAATTTGTAGAACAATTCTTATGATGCATTTGGATATTTTTACTAAATATTGTAGATAATAACTCTACAATACATTCTCCACAAATATTTGGAAATTTTTACTACAAATTGTCCCTGTCCCTATATGTACTATTTATTGTAGAGAAAAAATCTATAATTGTAGAAATTTGTTCTACAATTTTCCGTGCGTAGACAAGAAATAAGTAGGTAGTAGTGAATAAAAAAAGCGACAAAAATTCACACATTCTTTTATTTATTAATTATAATAGCATATTGATTATGCTCAATCAAACATATAAAAAACAAGTTAATAAAAAAATCTAATAAAAATTAATGAGAGACTTGAGTTTGAAGCTGAGAGACAAGATGATCAATATTGGGGTCAATATTACTAATACATAGGCACAAAGTGTTTTCTAAATAATATTGGGGTCAATATTACTAGTACATAGGCACAAAGTGTTTTCTAAATAATATTGGGGTCAATATTACTAGTACATAGGCACAAAGTGTTTTCTAAATTAACATCTGTAAGCCGAGTATGATGATTATTTTTATTAGTTCATTGATTGAAAAAAGCTGCTCATATTTTTACGTGCTTCCAAATGTGCAAATTATTTTTCGTACGAAAACTCTCAGCTGTGGATACTTTTGTTTGGAAAGGTATGTTCTGTAAAATTTGCTTAGTTCCACATCATCAAATTTAGACTTCAAATATGAGTCTTCTTGAAGCTCGATCAACTCCATTTGTAGGTGAAGCTCAGGGAGCATCTTCCACATTACACTTACAAGGATTTGCAAAAATATTAAAAGTGCTATCCACATTCTTAAAATCGTAAAATCGATCAGTAAATTGCTCGGGCAGTAGTTTGAATTCTTTAGCATAACGATCGTATTCAATGTTTCCGCAACTGGATAATGTTGAAAAACAAGCGAATTTTGTTTTAAAAAGCTATAAGATGACTGTATAGCTAATTTACCAATTGCCTTTGTTTTTGAAGCTTCAAGTTCAGGTCGCTTAAGTGCCCTGTGATGTCTACCAGGAATGCCAAGTCACAAAGCTGGATCACAAATTTGCGGAAATATTTTCTCTTTCATTTCCATAAAATCAGCTTTTCTAAGGTCATAAAATGTTTTTAGCATTTTACTTTTGCCTTGCCACCTACTTCGCAATAATATGTTACATCATCGTGTTCTCAAGAAATTAATGGTACTACCACATCCATAACATTCTTCAATTGAATGGACAAGTTCTGTTGGTGAAAAATGCAATGCAAAATTATTAAATCACATTCTCGCACATTCATAGCGGTTACTTTTTCCTTCAGAATTCCAATAAAATCTTTTCGTGAACCGACCATTGAAGGCGCACTATCCGTGCAGACTCCAACTAATTTACTCCACTGCAAACCATATTGCTCAAAAGTAGTTTTCTCATCGGCAAAAATATCTTTTCCAGTAGTGGTCCCTTGTAGCGGCCGTAAAGCCAGTAATTCCTCTGTCATTGCAACTTCTTCATCAAGACCTATAAAAATAACTAACTGGGCTGTGTCAGATAAATCTGTACTCTCTTTCTAATCAATCGAAAATGCTTGAAAACTAGCCGTCGAATAACAGTACGTCGTGATAAGCTCACTTTCTTAAATTCTTTCCTTTTTTCTGGGCACGAAAGTTCTGCAACGTCTACTAGGCATTCTTTAACAAACTGTCCCTCAGAAAATGACTTCGATATTTTCGCTATTTTGTTTCATTGCACAACAAACGCATAGGTTTACCACTGTGCAAGATGACAAGGTATTCATCAGTCCATTTGTCTTAGAATTGACGACATTCTGTGTCCACTGTACACTTTCCGCTTTTTTAAACCAGATATGTTTTTGTTTCAATATTTCCCGCGTCGTACTCTCGATCGTACGTGAATATGCGATGCGAACTTTATCAGTTGTTAAGAAGTAATAAGGTGACGCACGCTGAGCGGTTTATATACTATCCCCAAGCAACTAGAATACTCGATCGTACGCGAGCGCTTCAAGTGCGTCGGGCGGCTTCGAGAATGATTATCTGTTTGTTTTTTTTTCTAACGACTATTTCTGACACGATCAGTGGCGTTCCACTGTGTACGCTTAACGTTATTTTTTATTTTAACGTTACTAGACAATTAGGCTAGATAAAATATACTCTAAGATCCGAAGTAAGGTCGACCTTCACCCATCTGTTTAAGGGATTAAAGTTTATTTTGTAAATAAAATATGTTTATAAATATACCGCAAATGGGTTGCCTAAGAAAATACTTTCAAGACTATTTATTTTCTTAACGTAAAAAAAACGACATCTTTTAAAGTATTCACCAGATGCTTCGACTAAGCCCAATATTTAATCAGGGCATAATCAGCGCAGGATGGATTAAAGCTAAAGTTTAAAATTTGGTGTTTTCCTCTTTATCCGTTTTTGAGTTATCTTTAAAATTCGAAATTTGCACTTTTCCTCAAATATCTCGAATACGGTCCATTTTAGGGAAATCATGTATATGATCAAAATCATAGAAAATGACATCACAAGCAACTAGGAAGGAAAGTAAAAATAGCCCTGACAGTATTTTCTTAGGCAACCCATTTGCGATATATATTTATAATGTATAAAAACATAACTTTCATCCGTTGAATGTCGACATTACTTCGGATCCTGTACGAATATATTTTGTAATAAATATCATATATTGGTGATTCACTGATGAAGATTATTGATAACATGCCTTTATCGTACAACTTGTGTTTTTAAAACTTGTCTCTGCTTAGCTACAGGTTTGACGAATCATCCTGTAGTTAATTATTGGTTGCCTTTTTTGTATTAGATACCTATGATTTATCTCCTTGTTTTAGGAAGTACCCAAAAAACGGAATGCCCTGGTAAGAGAGGCTTCTATGCGAAAATTGTCGCTCTCTAAGATACCACCACCACCTCCTCCTCAACCAGGTATGCCGCCTCCTCCGCCAATGATGCCAGGCGCGATGCCAAAGAAATCTCTGAATGACAAACAGAAATCAAGGTTACACAAACTAAGGTAAGGTAATTAATTACAATAATATTGAAACTATGGAATGTAGAGGAAAGAAGGACAATCTCATATGGTCTCAAAAGTGTCCACCTAAATCAGTAAGTAACGTTTCAGAAAGTGGCTACCAGAAAGGCGCTTATGTACTTGAAGGAAAAGTTCCAATGATATATAGTCAATATGTCAATCAGCCATATGTCAATCAGATGACGAAAAGCACTAATGTCTATTATCAAAAATGTTCTATTTACGATTATAAGCTCAGTCGCTTTTCACGATGTAGTTTTTATTTGTTAGGCTATACCCTTCGAACATATATATATATACCCTTTAATTTACATATGGCTGAGCTATCTATATAACTATAGACATCATTGGTGTGATTGTGTGATTTGAATTATCGACTGTCACAACTTTCGGCCTTCTTCATAGGCGTCCCTCTGGTACAGTAACACCTTCTTAATTTTATACATTTTAAGGGACACTTTTTGTCAACAGAGATAGTTCTCTTTACCTCTACACTCCTTAATTGAAACTTAAACCCAAAGTTAGGTAAAAGTTAAGTTTTACGTTTTAGGTTTAACTTTTTAGTATAGCAATTTTATAAATTAGCGGGCGGTTGCAAGAGTGTTCTCAAATATAGATGCTCCTCTGTTAAGCCTTGACAGACGTTAAGACTGTGAATGGTTTGAAGTTCATGTAATTTAGAAAGATTACATTCGCAAGAACCAATAAATAATTAATAGGTCTACACTATGAAGACTAGAGATAAGGAGACGAATCGGCATACTCAAAATACGGTCCCAAAAAACGCATGCTAATTGAGCTTCTATAATTAACCTCATGTGCGCTAGTACTGCATACGCTGTTCAAAATACATGGCTTCTTATGGGAGTTGTACATAATTTTGTCAAAATAATAAAAATAAACTTGTTTGTAGCTAAATAAAGCACAGAACATACTGTTGTATTTATTTCTAAATAAGTCTTGCATATTTTAATTGATAAATTATTTAATTATATCTATATAAAACACAAATTAGGTACGTATGACCAAATTCGAAAAGGTTTCTTAAAAAGTACAATTTTGTAACAAATTTTTTTTTAAATTGAACCAATATATAGTTTTAAGAGTAAAATAAAACACAGTGAACATATTTTTTATTGTTGTAACATAAGTATAAAGGGAGATTTGGGAATGTACATGGTATTACCTCATACTTTAATTTCAGCTTTCCCCTTTTTATTTTGCTAATAGTACCATCAGTAAAAGCAGTCTCATAATATTTGATAATATCTTCTAAAATGTATAGAACAGCATCATCTCCAGAAAGTGCTTCATCGGCACTAGGAACGATATATATGCTGCCACTGTTTTAAGCGTTCAATATCCTATAAAAAACATTTACAATGAGAAAATTGGGGTCCAAAAAAAATAACACTACCACCTCTTTATCTAACATTAAAACTCTATAAAAAATAAATTTTCTTTTCTAGTAAGTTAAATTTAATACATAATTGTTGTTGTTTGTAAGTCAGCATCTATAGCTGTAAAATTTAATAATATAGAAACTTGTAATAAAATAAACTACACTTCGTAAGATACATATTGTGATTAGTTTACATTAAATATTATATTTAGACATGAATACATTATTTTAATTACATTAGAAGATTTAAAAAGACATTGAATTGATTTCTTCTTGTGTTTTTTTTAGTTCTACATTTTATTTTTATCCTGTTTTACAATCTGAAACGACGTAAATCTAGCTTTGATGTTTTTTGTCACTCATGTTACTTGTACTCAGGTACTTTTTTTCACATTATTTTGATTTTTTCACCAATTTTTTAAAAAAATTTACATTGACTTACATAGAAAATTGACTACGCTGTCATTAGACATGCCAACTACAGTAAATTTCGAGAAATTTATAAAAAGAAGGACGGAAATTTGAAATTTGACCATTGCCGATTCGCCTCCTTCTCTCTAGTCTTCATAGTCTACAGCAATCACATCATCGATTTGTATGAATGTCATTTTGAATCAAAACAAAATCAAAGTATGTGATCGAAACTTAATGGAATTATATTCCAATTTTAACTATTTACGATAAATTATCTAAACTTAATATCAGATAGGGACCAGGGACGAATTTCATAAAACTACTTTGCAATTTTACACTTTACACTTTGTACTTTACAAAATTGAGTAAATCTATGTTTCATAAAAGAGAAATTTGATATGGTATGCTAAGTAAAAATGAAAAATTAATAATCTGCCAATTGAACGATAGTATTTTGTAAAACACAAATTTGCTTAGTACAAAGTGAAAAGTGCAAAGTAGTTTGATGAAATTGACCCCAGGTCCTGGTGCAATTTCCCCAATATTCATGAAAAACTGCAGTTTTATATTATACCCATATACCTACAAATCTGGTAAAAATCTGACATAAAAAATAACCGTTCCATATCTATAATTAGCACAATCCCAAAACTCTTTGAAATCGTCATAAAGGCAGTGGCGGTTATATTCTTTCGCAAAAAGATGTCCTTCAGGCCCATGTCATATATACAGGGTTAAGCAAAATTGGCGGGACACCCGATTTGTGGCTCAATGATGGATTGTATTGAAAATTAACCTAAATTACTTTTTTCGTATATTTTATGCACTATTTAATGATGCTTGGGGATTTTCATCATCTGTCATATTTATCTAGACATGACGTCATTAAATGAATTTTTAAATGAATCAATCTATATTTGTACTTTTTTCGGAGAGTTTAAGGGATTCTGAGTTCGTAATAAAATAGAAAGTAAACATTTATTTAATAAAAAATAATTACTTTACATCAATCGAAGTACACAAATCTTTCAAAGTAAGTGTTTGAATTGAAAGCCTCCAAGTGTCTGACAATATCCTACTCTATCAACAAATGATCTTAAGGCATTTTGATAAACTTCAGATGTTATTTCTTGGACAGCAAACCTTATTTTGCCTTCCAATTCTTCCAGCGAATATGGCAGGTCCTTATAAACTACTAATTTCAATATGCCCTCTTCGACCCACCCATCTATGCGAAAATATTATCTTAATCAGAAAGTTCTATGATTTGGAAATAAACGAACCAACTTTGGAACTATCTGCTCTTGAAGAAATTGCGATCACCGTTCTGAGTTCCTCTCATGGAGAATGGTCCAATAATTCTTCATCCAACTATACCAGACCTAATATTTAACTTTTGTGAATATTGGGTGTGACCTTCTTCCATCCAGTAAGGATTATAATCAGACCTATGCCGGCAATTATGTTTACTTACAAATCCACTGATATAAAATGTTGATTAGTCGGAAAAAACAATTTTGCTTAACAATATATATTTCCATTAATAGCACCCATCATATCCTGACAGAATTGCATTTGCCTATCTGGGTTATCTTCATTCAATTCTTGGTGTAATTACACTTTATAGGGATGAAACTTATTGACTTTCAGAATCCTCCTTACAGATCTCTCGTTCATATTATTGTATAACGTAATCTTTGGAACTGAAGTTTTTGGTTCTTCCTGTACACTTAGAACAACATTAAGTGCATTTTATTCATCAGTGGCTGTCCTGTTCCATCCAGATCTGAGATTGTTTTTCACACTTCCTGTTTCATTAAACCTGATCAAATTTCTAGATGCTGTAGATTTAGAAATCGGGAAAATCCTGTCAGGAAATGTTTCATTGAAAAAATACCAAGCTTCTTGCAGAGATTTCTTTCTGTCTCCAAACCCAATAATCATCAATAGTATAATTCATTCACGTTTACTTAATTCAACCATGATGTAAATCAGGGATTCCCTAACTATTTTAGACAAGAGACCCCTTTTCCAAAATGAACTGATACCTCAGACGCCGATAACCAAATTAATTTCAAAATCCTATCTCTAGTTTTTTTCCATTGATATAAAATTCCAATTTAAAAACTTTGCGGTTGGTTGAGTGAGTAAACTTGACATTATTTTCCCATCAAAATTTAACAAAATAAAAAGACATAAAATTCAGTAAATATCAAGTGTAATTAATAATTATTATTACAAATTACGTAAAAATACTTAAGTAATTAGGTAATTATTTTTGAAAAAAAAAAAACATTAAGCAAGTAAAGTTAAAAAATCAAAAATTCAGTATGAAGGATGAACCTGGTGACTTTCTACCAATCTAGCTAAATATTGATGAGTTGCAGCCTTAAATATCTGCGTTTCTTGATGTTTAAACGGTTTCTTTGATTTATCAAAATGTTTTTCGACAAGGTATGATGATGAAAAAGCGACATTGTTTAGTAATGTTCCACAATACAGGAAGTGTGATATTTCGATGTTGCGCTGTAATCAGAACTTGTGATAGCCTTGGTTGAACTTCTGCTTAAGCCCCTCGTCTGTGGTGATCAAATATTCTTGCACTATCACATTGGCTTTTTCCATGGCTGTGATATTGTACGGATTTATAATCTATTGAGGAATTTGTAAATTTAAGAGATCCTTAAACCTCTTAATAAAACTCTTGTGTAATGCATCCAAGTGGGTGACATATGATAAAATAACATCGTCTTGAAGCTTTTCTGGTATTTTGACAAATGCGGAAACTGTAAATATTATTTTCTGCTTAAATTTTGTTTATAAAGGATAAGTTTGCCCAGAAATGCCGACATTATTGATTTTGTTTTAATCAAGTTCAGATCGTCACACTGCAGCTGTAAATTAACTTGGTTAAATATACCAAAGATATCAGTCAAGTAATAGATATCTGTTTTACAGTTGTTCAGGTTTTCTTTCAAATTTGAATCTATTTCTTGTAAAATCTTCAATACAAATTCAAAAATAGCTGAAAATCTTGCTAAGCAGGAGCCTCTTGACAGCATTTATAACATATTTTAAAGACTGGTGCAATCTAGGACTCAGATTTTTTGCTACTTAATGCTGTCTGTGAATCACACAGTGAATGACCAGTACCTCAGGCAGTTGTCGCTTTAAGTGAGCTATAAAATCACGATGACGACCAACCACAGATGGTGCAACATCAGTCACAACAGAAAGAATGTTCTTCCAAGAAAAATTGATGGTATCAGTCTTTAAATATCTAGCAAAAAGCAATTCTTGGCACATATTTTCATCTTTAATATATTGAACATATCCTAACAACAGAGCTTCATTGCCAAGTAATTTAGACTCGTCCAACTGGAGAAAGAATCTGTTGGTCTGTAAGAAATTGCATAAAATGTTTTCCACGTTTCGACTCATCTCGTCTATTCGTCTCTGAACGGTGTTATTGCTCAAATGTATTCTCTTTATAATATTATTTGTGGGCTTGTGCAATACATTGTTAAGGGGGGTCCCATATTACTTTGATGAAAATCTAATAATTGGGTCCATGAGAAAATCCTCACTCTTCATTTTTTATGTATGTTTAGCGTTAATTCTTTACCACCTTGTCCGATTTCTATGAATTTTTTTTGGTTAGTAAGTGGGTGGTCCCATATAAATTTGGTCAAGATATGGCAATGGCATCTGCACCATTTTGAAGTCGGTTTTTTAAAATTATTTTTAATACTTTTTATAGACTTGATAGTACTTTTAGCAATTTCATTTCTCAGATACTTGGATTAGCAAACTCTCTGGATAATCTCGTATTTGATTCAACTGTAAATAGATTTAAGCATAATATTTTAAATCTACTGAAGTCATTCATAACAATTTACTGTAGCTTAAATACATTTTCCAGTAAATATACAAAATAAAAATCTAAGAGAGCACCAATAAGGATTTAACGAACGTTTTTGCAACAAGTCGAACGAGTGATTCAATAAAAAAAATCACATTAAATATTTATTTAGGGCGAGACCTAAGAACAGGCCAGATTGGGGCAATTTGCTACAAGAAATCGAAGCTAAGAAAACTTTAAAACATGTCGTATGCAACGACAGGTCTACTCCATTATTACCAGAGGCTAAGGCAGACGAGCATTTAATTTACAAGAGCGAAGAAGCAAATGTGCACAATGAACTTCTGAAGCAGGTAATTTATTCTGATTGAATTATATTATAGGTTAGAATAAGACAGTGATTTATCGTGCGTGATAAAGTTTGGCCTTTGTTCAAAAAACCTTTATTACTAGACTAAGAATAAATGTGAGATAAGGTTTCAGGTACCCTTTTTGAGAAACAACCCCAAAACCGCCACTAAAGGTATATTTTTTAGATTTTTATCATTTTATGGGAAACCATTGATTGTTTGAAAAACAACCAGGAGTACTATTTTAAAGAGCATAAAATTTTCTATACTTTGATGTATCACTTGTTGATTTTTGATCAAAGATTACTTTAACATAATTGCCAAAGCTATGTTCTCATCATTTTTGAAAATTATACTGTTTTTCATGGACATCCAATATAATAGTCTGTACAGGGTTTTTCATTATATTTTGACCACTATTTATTTTCATTATTCTTGTGAACACAAAAAAGTTTCAAGTAAAAGCTTTGTTGTTTTACCTCAACTTTTTTGGCCATAGTATAACCCATTACGAGCAATCAACTGACAACTTTTAATTAACAAACAACTGTTTTACTTGGAAACATCATTTTCATAGCCATCTATGTGTTACGCTTTCATAGTGCAATAAGTCACTAAATAATTAAATTATTATATATTTGTAATCAGGAAATGCAAGTCTACTTAAAATGAAAAAATATATAGGATGTCGCATTAAAAGAATGAAATTATATTTTGTTGGAGGCGCGCTGTCTATACAATTCTGCCAGTTATTACATTTTTAGTTGGTACAAGTCAAACAACAAAACTTTTACTTAAAACTCTTTTTTGTGTTCGCAATAATAATGAATATAAGTAGCGGTCAAAATATAATGAAAAACCCTGTACAATTGACTATATGACTAAACGAAAGGAAACTTAAAATACAATTTTTAATTAAATAACTATTAAGAAAATAAAGTTATATAGTTCAAAAATATTACCTTAAGCGTTATCTGCATACAGACAACGGCTTGAGTCAAGATTTTAAACATACACATTTGCACATTTCTTTTTTTACAACTGCATATCTTTAGACTAACCTTCTTGCATCTACATTTAATAAGTTCCTCACAAGCTTTACTAACCTCAGGAAATGATATCCATTTTGGGATAAGTTTGTCCTCAGAAGATTCTAGCCCACCAAAACCATATATGGATCTGGAGTATCAACCAATGGTTTTTTTAGCAGAAACCCATATGCTCACTTGGTACAGAGCTCTTTTATCATACAATTGATATTCCTGCTCTTTGTAATGCAATGAATACGGTTTCTTTTTTATCGTGGCTGATAAAGAAAATCAGAGCATGATTAAGTTTTGGCTCCAATTTAATGTTCTTTGGTTCTTTCCGGTTACAAAACTATGTATATAGTAAGATATTGGAAATACTTATCTGTAACTATCGTATCGTACACTCTTAGTCATCATTCGTTTCTTGTAATGATTTACACCAGTTTACACCAGAAAATAGCACTTAACGAGGCGTTTTAGCCACTAATTTTGACGAATTGTAACAAATCATTTACAAGACATTAAGAGCTTAAGGGACAATGGGCAGAAATGTATGGGAAATTGCCCTACCCTCAGTAAGGATAAGTTATGTACCAATTGAAATATAATTTTAAGGACAACATTTCTCATCTCAATTACTTGTCCGTTCCGAGTTATATCATCATAAATGTAACTAATTGCACGATAGGCCAGTGTTTATATTCTGTTATTGTAGTGCTTATTATAGGCAACTAATAGTAATTATTACTTCTTAGTAATATAAAAATAATTATAGTATTCGGGTATATCATATGATGCTGTCGAGGATTTAATCTGCCACGTGTATCCCTTACCAAAGGGTATCTGCGTGTTGATTACACGGTCCAACGTATGCTTTCCAAAGGACCGGGTCCAATAGTTCAAGACCAAGGTACAGTTCATCAAATTTCTAGAGGTGTTCGACGCCCAGACAGAGAACGCGCTACGTGTGACTAAGATAGCTATTGTACAGTCTGCTAAACAAGTTATTTTAAATAGTTTTTAATATTTTTAGGTAATTAAATTTCAAAAGTGTGGAATAGTTTAGGGATTAAATTGGTCTGATTGGACTTTCTTAGAACGTTTTTAAAAGCAGCTAAAGATAGTATGTAGAATTGAAAATAATTATTATGCCATAAAAGGTGTTTTGGAATTCCTTCAACCTTTTGAAATTGAGTCAGAAAATATAAATTTTATAGGATAGCGGAAAATACCTATAATTTTTTTGTAGGCCTTTGTAAATCGTGGAAATAGTTTATATTTTATTTCTACCTTATTAAGGAAAATGGTACCTATTATTAATAACGGTTGTTTCTGAAACATTACTAAAATTTTCGAAATTTTGTTTTTCTACAAAATAATAAACTATACTATTTAGAAAAAAATTTATTTCTCTTATAATTTTATAAAAAATAACAGGGGAATATTTACATTTCTTGATCTATTAAACAAAACGATCAATTATCTCGACGAATGACACCATGTTCTAGTACGGAAGCTAGCTTTACATTTTTGTTGGTGGTTTCATGGGTTTCATATCAATTTTTTGTAATTGTAGTTTACACGTACATATACCTCTTAACACTTGTTTGCTTTATTAAAAAAGTGTGTTGTTGTGATTTACGTCGAAATAAGTCAAAAACAACTTGAAACCCCATATAAAATTAAAAAGGAGAAACGGAAAAAAATTGAGCCTGTAAATGAACACAACTCAGAAACAAAAATAGCTATCTAATAATAAAAAAATAAAATTTGATTCTTGTGCAGCTTCATCTATATTATTAACTGTTTTTGGTTTTTTAATGGTTTTTCTTAGTGATGAAAATTCCGATATCTCACGGTTATCGATTCTTTTTTTCTCTCCAGAAATGCGGACGACAGTGTTTTTAGATACTCCTGTGGCTGCAGCAACACGATCATTTACATTTTTAAATGGTATTGAAGGTGAATTAAAGTTTCCTTCTCTTCTCATAAACTCTATAACATTGGCTATTATTTCGCGAGATTGACTGTTAATCACGCGGCCTCTTAATTTGCTATTAAACTCCATACTTAGGTTCTATTAAACTGTAATGAGCAAAAAATACAAACGAAAATAAAAGAAATGTTTTAGCGAAATTTACATCTGACATTTACGTCTGAATGAAATAGTGAAATACTTGATGCGCAGAGTGTACTTTCATTGCGTAAATCCGTCGGGATGCCTGTCAGTAGTGCTTTCTCTGTCTAGCCGTCGAAAGCCTCTAGAAATTTGATGAACTGTAATGGACAAACATAATACAATCATAAATATTATTACCCCATTTACATTAGAATGAATAAAAAGACCCATTTACATTAGAACGAATTACAAGCCATTATTATTATAACCTATGATCTTGTAAGTTATTTTTAAGATGTACTTACAAATATTTTTTATGCGTATCATAAAATTAATCTTCAAGTAAGCTAGCAACACAATATACACATAACATACTTTTCGTTTGCTAGTCAAGTTAGCCGTGTCTGTCAAATTAACGTAGTAAGATTTGAATTCGGCAAAATAAAACTATATACTTTTAATATCGTGTATGTAATTCGAGCGGAAAGCTATTTGCCACTTAAGATAAAAAGTTTCCGCGCGACGCGCAGCGGAGTGCGGCATTTTATCGTGGTTTACTAATTGATCATCAAAATATTTTATTTATTTCTAGAAGAACTTGTTGAAAATATTCATCGTATTGTTTATGCCCAGTAGCCTCAATAATATGTCGTATTGAATGTTTATCTCCAGAATTTTCTCTATATCCATTTCTCCTCCAATATATGAGTAATTCGAGAGACGCTAAAATGATGGTTTCCACCTTATCAAGACTGAGGCCTACAAGGGTAAACTCGTAGCGCAAAAAAACGAGAAATGATTTAACTTGGAACGAAAGACCGAAAGCCGATAGTAGTATTAAGAAGTTGAATTTTTTGGTTTGGGAAGCATTGGCATTACTTAGGTTAAATCATGTGATAATTTTCACAAGCCTTGATTTTTAAAACCGTTCTAGATCGCCTTTTGATTAGGGTTTAAAAACTTGTTCGAGCAATTTATCCAATAATAATTGGCCTCTTTATCTCTTAAGCCTGCTCATGTAAAATATTTGGGCTCCTTACTTCGCCTATTTATCTAAAAATATTTGGTCTCTTTTAAATAGGTCCATGTAAAATTATATGATCCCTTTACTTTCTTAGATCTGTTCATGTAAAATTGCACCCATTGTTGCTTAAGCCTACCTACGTATAAAAATTTAAAATGGTTTCAAAAAGGCGGCATCTTTTTTCATTTTGTTAAAATTAATACCAATTTTTGTGGGCAGTGCATTTATCGTTCTGATAGTTTAAAAATAGTAGTGTTGGACGACTACTGTTGTATTTTTTATATATTTTTTAAAAATTATCGGTAATTAAAAATTTTCGAGTTCTTTCTGTTTTGGTTTTGGAAAAATTTACTAAAAAAGCTAATCGGTCTTGCAAATCACTAATTTTCATGCAATGCATCTCATTAGCCGGACAAGCTTCCATTATGCCTATTATTAAAGACTTTAAGAAATAAATACCTAATTATAATATATGAAGAAAAACCTTAATTAATAGATTTTTATCGTCTGATGCTTACTAAAAACTTACATTTTAGACTTTACGATGAAGAGTATTTTTCAAAAATATAACCGGAAACCACATAAATTAACGTATTTTTAAAAAAATTACATATTAAAGGCATATGAGGATCATTAAGTGATCATTTATGTATTTATTCATTAGAATTTAGAATTATATCTGTCATGCTCTGTCAATTCAAATCTGCGCAGTTTTGCCAAGTGTCTAATTAAATTCAACAAACATTTTTTTTTAAATACCTTATTTTTGACATAACATTTCCATACACTTTAAAAAGAACTTCTATAATTGATTTCCAGTCACATCTGA